ATCTTCACAGACTGGAGGTGTAAATATTTACACCTGGAATGTCAATTTTTGCAAACAAAATTTTGTTGGAACACAGCAACGATCATTTGATTATGATCTTTTATAGATGCTTAAATGTGCAGAAAGGAGCTCTGGTAGCATAGTGGTTACGAATCGGGCTGTGAACCGCAAGGTCAGCAGTTCGAAACTACCAGCTGTTCCACGGAAGAAAGATGAGGTGTTCTGCTCCCGTAAAGATTTACAGCCTCAGAAACCCTGTACAGGGTCACTATGAGTCAGAACCAACTCCACGGCACACAGCCACATATGTGCAAAAATGGCAGGGAAGCCTTGTCTGACATCCTCTGGCTTTGCAAGAGGGAAGGAAAATCAGACTCAAAATCAGCACAAGGCTAATTCCTATGAAGTGGAGGTCAGACATACTTCTGATCTACAATCTTCTTTATCCTGTTGTTGTTTTTAAGTGCTACTACCCATAGTACTCTCTGCTTCACATCTGTGTTCGATAATCCATTGTAATGGCCACACAGAACTCAGAGACAATACTCACAATTATGGGGTTTATTAAGAAAGTGAACAGGATACAATTCAGGTTAAGTAATTCTCTAGCCAGGAATGCGTCTTCTCTTGCTGACTTCAGGCACACCTCGCTCTGTCATGTGACACCTCAGTCTCTGCATTGCTCAGGTAAGTGTTACAAAGCTCCACTAGCCCGTCTGAAATGGCCAGAGGACACATTCTAGAAGCTGTCCTCCTCTCCATAGGCATTCAGCTTTATTCTGTCCATGGGCCAGGAAGCCCACAGCTACTCTGTCTCCCCATGTTGCACCTTTGCGGCTGATGCTTTTCCAGGTAGGAATCTCATGCTCTGCACATAGATCTTTCTTGATGGTCCTGGATTATCTGTTTCTGCTTCTGAGATGTCTCCTTTGAAACCTAGTAGCATGGCAAAGCTAACCAATCTTGGAATTAGAGTCTTGGTGTGGTGCCACTGGACCAAAAGTCAGTTTGAATCACAAGATCGGCCGTTCGAACTCACCATCTGCTCCTTGGAAACTCTATACAGGGTCTCCATGAGTCAGAACCTACTAGATTATAATGAACAACATACCTGATGTGGTGTTGTAGGATAAGCACTGGACCATAAGGTTGGTTTGAACCACAAAGTTGGCAGTTCAAACTCACCAGCCACCCCTCTGAAAACCTATACAGGGTTACTATGAGTTGGAACCAGCTTGACAGCACATAACAACAGTACTTCACTTCCACCTAATCATTTGTTGAGAGCTAAGGAAACTGGATAGAAAAGCCATATCAAGTAAATACATGGTACCACAACTGTTGTTGTTTGTTATGGTTATCGGATAGGTTCCGACTCACAGCAACCCTGTGCAGTATTTCCATGGCAGTTGGTGGGTTTGAACGGCTGACCTTTCTGTTACCAGTTCAATGCTTATCATATAGCACCATTCCAGGCTAGCACAATATACTAGAATGTCAGAATTGAGTAAATGCAAAATTGAAAAATATTACTCTCTGGTCCTTACAGTAAATATTTTTGACCCCTGTTCTAGATCAACAGCATACTGGCTAGTAGAAATGTAAGCAGCACGTAAACTATCTAGTAGGCACACTGAAAGCAAGACAAAATGAAAGGGTATCTTCTCTCACGGATTCGGTTCAACACTCCTGGAATTCCCAGCTAGTGAAACAGCACAGCAGACACACACAAAGAAATAAAAAGTATACAGATTGGCAAGGAGAGAGAAAACTTTATTCACAGATGACATGATTGTTTAGGTTAAAAATATCAAACAATAGGCCAAAAATATATTGGAACGAATAAACAACTATAATAAAATGGCAGAACACAAATTAATCATGCAAAAGTAAATTGCTTTTCTATATCCAGCAGAATACAGTTGTGGTTTAAAATTATGAAAACAATACCTTTTATAATGCTGTTGTTGTTGTTGTTAGGTGCCATCGAGTCAGTACTGACTCATAGCGACCCTATGCACAACAGGATGAAACACTGCCCAGTCATGGGTCAACCTCACAATTGTTGCCACACTTGAGCCCAGTGATGTTGCCATTTTGTCAGTCCATCTTGTTGGAGGTCTTCCTCTTTTTTTCTGACCCTCCACTTTACCAAACATGATATTCTTCGCCAGTGACTGGTCCCTCCTGACAATATGTCCGAAGTATGAGAGATGAAGTTTGGCCATCCTGGCCTCCAAGGAGCACTCTGGCTGCACTTCTTCCAAAACGGATCTATTGGTTCTTTTGGCAGCCCATGGCACTTTCAATATTCTCCTCCAACACCATAACTCAAAAGCATCAATTCTTCTACGGTCTTCCTTATTCACCGTCCACCTTAAGCATGCGTATGAGGCTATTGAAAATATCATGGCTTGGGTCAGGTGTACTTTAGTCCTCAAGCTGACATCTTTGCTCTTCAACACTTTAAAAAGGTCTTGTGTAGCAGACTTGCCTAATGCAATGCATCATTTGATTTCTTGACTGCTGCTACCATGAGTGTTGATAGTTGAACCACAAAGACTGAAGTCCTTGACAACTACAATCTTCTCTCCATTGGTAAGCATGTTGTTTATTGGTCCAGTGGTGAGGATTTTTGTTTTCTTTACATTGAGATGCAATCCATACCGAAGGCTGTGCTCTTTGATCTTCATCAGTAAATATTTTAAGTCCTCTTCACTTTCAGCAAGCAAGGTTGTATCATCTGCATATCACAGGTTGTTAATGAATCTTCCTCCAATCCTGATGCCACGTTTTTCTTCATAGAACCCAGCTTCTCAGATTGTTTGCTCAGCATACAGGTTGAATAAGTATGGTGAAAGAATACAATCCTGTCACACACCTTTCTTAATTTTTAACTATTCAGTGTTCCCATGTTCTGTTTGAACAACTGCCTCTTGATCCAGGTACAGATTCCTCATGAGCACAATTAAGTGTTCAGGAATACTCATACTTCGCAATGTTGTCATAGCTTGTCATGATCCACACAATCGAAAGCCTTTGCATAGTCAATAAAGCACAGGTAAACATCTTTCTGATATTCTCTGCTTTCAGCCAAGATCCATCAGACATCAACAGTGATATCCCTCGTTCCATGGCCTCTTCTGAATCTGACTTGAGCCTCTGGAAGTTTTCTGCCAATGTATGCTTGCAGCTGTTTCTGTATTACCTTTAGTAAAACTTTACTTGCATGGGATATCAAAGAGATTGTCCTTTGATTTCTGCATTCATTGGGTCACCTCTCTTTGGAATGGACACAAATATGGATCTCTTCCAATCAGTTGGCCAGATAGTTATTGTCCTAATTTCTTGGCAGAGATGAGTGAGTGCCTCTTGTGCCGCCTCACTTTCTTGCAAGATTTCAATTTTTATTCTGTCAATTCCTGGTGCCATATTATTTGCCAATTCCTTCAGTGCACTTTGTACTTCTTCCTTCAGTATTTAGCACTCTTCAAAAGATGAAATACATATAAATTAACAAAATACAGTCAAGATTTATATGCAGAACTATGAAACATTGTTGAAAAAGATCAGTGAAGCTGATGGAGACATGTTCGTGTTCATGGGTTATTGTTGTTGTTGTTGTTGTTAAATGCTGTTGAGTCAGTTCCAACTCATAGTGACCCTGTATAGGGTTTCCAAGGAGTGGCTGGTTTGAACTGCTGACGGTGTAGCAGCAGTTACTCCAGTGCTTATCCTACAGAGCCACACCAGGACTGGCTCATGGATTGTAAGACTGAAATATTGATGTGTTAATTTGTTTCAACTTGATCTATGGATTCAATGCAATCTTAATAAATTCTAGCAAGCTGTTTTAAAGATACTACCAAGCTGATTTTCAAGATTATGTTGGAAGGTAAAAGACCTAAACTAGCATGCACACTGAAAAAAATGCTAAAAAGTTAGAGGACAGATACTACCTAAATTAGAGACTTACAATTGTTGTTGTTAAGTGCCATCGAGTTCGTTTTGACTCACAGCAACCATGTATAGGTTTTCCAAGGAAGTGGAAAACTTCATCTTTCTCCTGTGGAGTGACTGGTGGGCTCTAACTGCAGACCTTGTGGTTCACAGTCCAGTGCTTACAGTCTGGAACCACTGCACTCCCAAAGACTTAGAACAATGCTGCGGAAATCAAGGCTGTGGTATTGGTGAAAATAGTCTTGTAAAGAAGTTCAGAAAGTTGATAAAGATGCAAAGGCACTTCAAGGGAACACTTGCAGATCCCTATGCAACAATATGAACCCAGTTGCATATACCTTATACCTTTCACAAAAATTGACTCAAAAAGGATCATAGACCTGAATATAAAATGCAAAACTGGAAAACTTCTAGAAGAGAACAAGAGAAAATCTTTGATTTGGTGATACTTTGTTTTTAAAACAGTCTTTATATTTTACAGAAAGTTTAGGTTTACAGAAAAATTGTGCAGAAAGCACAAAGTTGCCACATACTCATTGTAGAATACGCACAGGACTGCTAACTGAAAACTTGGTGATCCAAACCTACCAGTGACTCTGTGGGAGAGAGTTGAAGCTTTCTACATAAAGATTTGCAGCCTCAGAAACCCTATGCAGGCTCGCTGTGAATCAGAATAGATTTAGTAACAGTGGGTTTGGGTTTGGTACATGACAAGTGCCATTGACTCGGTTCTGTGACCCCATATAGCATATCTGAGGAGCAGCTGCTGGATTTGAATTGCCAACTTTGTGGTTCAGAGTCCAGTACTGATCCTACAGTGCCACATCAGAAGTCCAATAATATATATATAAAGACTAGACTATAGTAAAAGACATATGTTGGCAAAATAGGATTATCCTGTCCCCAAGGGCTAGCAGTGCCCCCCTTGACCCCACTCTGTGCTTCGTCTGTCTTTCTGACAGAGGACATATCTTGCTGGAATAGTGTTAGTCATCGGATGCTGGTGTTCTGTAAATTAATGCTTTTTTGTTTTGTGACAGTGACTGCTCCATTCGACTTTCAAATCCAAACATAGCAACCATGAAAGAAGATGTTTTATACCATTTCAGTCTCAGCACCAGTACACATGATTTCCCAACTATGTTTGGAGATGTGAAGGTAAAAAGCAAAGTTTTCACTTCTAAAAATGTGGCTTAAAATCAATCCCCTCTTGCGTGATACAAGCAAACTTCGTTTCAGATGGTTGAAGGATGACAGGTGTCAAATTCATAAAAAAGCTATACATTTATCTACTTTTGCAAATTATAGATTTTGAAGTGTATCAACTGGGAAGCAAAGGAAAACTGTCATAAGTACAACCACGGTGGTGGTGGGGGTTGTGATGTGCTGTGGAGTCGGTTCCGACTCATAGAGCCCCTGTACAGGGTTTCCGAGGCTGTAAATCTTTATGGGAGCAGAAAGCCTCATCTTTCTCGCCTGGAACAGCTGGTAGTTTCGAACTGCTGACCCTGAGGTTAGCAGCCCGTTTTGTAACCACTACGCTACCAGAGCTCCTTTAGTGCTAATTAATCCATTACAACTTTAGCATATGATTGAAACACTATAAAAGAAACTTCCTGAAGTTTCATTGGTAGAGTAAAAGGGAGATATAAAACATGTTCTAGGTGAGTTACGGATATAAGAGTAATTGCATAGTGCCTGTTGCTTGTAATTTAGTATGTGTCTTTAATGTCTTATTTTGCTGAATCAAGTCCATAGTTCCTACTAGGTTTTCAATTCCTTCCTCTCTAATCCCTGGGGGTTATTACTTAAATGGGTACTAAGTTTCTGTTTGAGGAGATGAAAATATTTTGGAACTATATATAAGTGATGGCTGTACAGCACAGTGAGTGTAGATTATTGTCACTTATTTATACGCTTAAAAATTGGTACAGTGGTAAATTCTGTTATACATCCTCCCCTCTCCACATTTTTTAAAGTCTAATTCCTGAAGACAAAGGTGAACTAACATTCTATCATTTGTTAGTTGCTGTTAGGTTCCATCAAGTAGGTTGGAATCCACTGTTGCTGCCACTGTGTGAATCCATATTGTTTGGGGTCTTCTTCTTTTTCAGTGACTTCCTTCTCTAGGGACTGCCCCTCCTGATGATATGTCTGAAGTATGAGAGATGAAGTCTTTGTTAAAAATTAAGAATGAACCAAGGATACTAGAATCATTGCTGTTACGTGGTGCCATAATACAACAATAAAGGCATGTCCCATAAGCCTTTGTCACCTTTTGCAGTACTGGTTTCAAAGTGTGGGGCAAGTCTCTATACATAGGCTCTTAATTAATTAATTTTGCATTCAATCCATTAAGTTTAGCCCACAATTACTGTTATTGTTGTTGTTGTTATTTGGCTCCCAAGCATTCAGTTCAGAGTTCGCAGTTATTATCTTCATTTTGCAGATGGTAGGACTGATTGCAGTTCACCAGACTGTTTATTTACAATCAGAGGGAAGCTGAGCATGGATGAAATCTGGATTTATTTTCTCAAAGACAGAACAAGAGTCTGGCCTTCCAGCCTTTTCTGTACATCAAAACCTTGAACTACCTAAGCCCCCTCTACTGAATACTGATTTATAACAAGCAGGAGTCTGATGACTGCACATCAGAATCATCAGGAGAGCTTGCTAAAGCAGGTAGTTGTTCCCTGTGATGGGACCAGGGAGCGCATTTCTAGCGAGTTCCTAAGTGATGCCGATGTTGCTTGCTCTTAGTGAGTTCCTATACTGTGCCTGTGCTGATAAAGTCTATGTCCGGCAGTTTGTGTGTGTTGGTGGAAGCGCCACCCGCATGAAAGCCTTCACCAGCTATCTGGCTCAGGAACTGGGTCTTGAACAACCAGGTGTGGATCATGCTAACATCTGTGCCGGAACTGACCGCTACGTCATGTATAAAGTAGGACCAGTGCTGTGCGTCAGTGTAAGTATCCTTCATTCATGACTGTGCTCAAGCTTTAGCCCTGCAAGCATGCACACACACACATTTCAGTATGGAAGAGCTATCCCTTCAACACCTGTTCATTGTGTCAGGCCAGGAGCAAAGGTGAAGTGAATGCAAAGGTAAATGGTACCCAGGTAACTGCATTGAGCTTCAGTCTCCAAGAGACAAACATACCGAATACTCCTACACATAGTGATCTACAAAGTGTGACGGTCATAGATGCAGGGAAAGAGTCAGCACAGGGCTGAGACTTCTGTTTGGACCAAGGCCTTCGAAGAGTCTTACCCAAATGTTAGGCCTTCGATTTTAGCAATGAGTGTGTAGTATTTTAGCAAAGTCTTACTTTCTAGTTTTGATTTCCATCATAAACAATCATGCACTACATAAAATTAAGTAAGATTTCCTTCCTGTGGTACAGATAATTTGTGTAAGCATTTTCAAAGTACAGGACACTGGGTAACCAAATTCTCAACCCACACAACTTCATGATATATACAAGAGAATGAATATAAATGTTGTTGTTGTTAAGTGCCGTTGAGTCCATCCTGACTCATAGCTATGCTGTATAGGTTTCTGAGGAGCAGTGGGTTGGTTTGAACTGCCAACCTTGTGCTTTGAAGTCCAGTGCTGACCCTATAGTACCACATTAGGAGTCATAGGAAATGCCGACATCATTCCAGTGAAGGGCTCTGTGGAAAGCGTGGCACTGTTGTCACATGGAGTTCAGAGCCTGGAAGGCACGGGGTGGGCTGAGGGACCAGCACATTACTTAGTTTGACTGCAGTCCAGAATGTGGGGAGAAAAGTTCAATGAAACAGTAAGAGATGTGGGGCAGGGAGTACCCTGGGATGGGCTTTAAATGCAGAAGGGACCTTGGTAGTACTGTGATTATTTACCTGACTCACTGCTAACTGGACAGTCAGTGGTTTGAACCCATCAGCTTCCCTGTGGGGGAAAGATGTACCAGTCTATTTCTGTAAAGATTCTAAAAAGACCAAATTCATTGCCATGAAGTCCATTCTGACTCCTAGCAACCCTATGTCGGGTTTCCAAGACTGTAAATCTTTAGGGAACCAGAGAGGCTCTCTTCCTCTGGTGGATTTGAACCACGGACCTTGCCGTTTTTAACACAATGCCTAACCCACACCACCACCAGAGCTCCTTTTCTGTAAAGATTGCAGCCTTGGAAACTCTATGGGGCAGTTCTACTTTGTCAGTTAGAGTTCACTGTGAAAGGGAGTCACCTGGACAACAAGAAGTTTAAATACCAGATGGGGCTTTGTACATTGTCATATTGTTTCCTTGATGAACCTCCATGTCACTAGTCCCCATTTTATGGGCTGTGTAGATTTAGTAGGTAACACAGGCATACCTCACAGATATTGCTTATTTCATTCCTGACCACACAATAAAGCAAGGCACATGAAATTTTTAGTTTCATCCTTCCATATAAAAGTTATAATTACACTGTATTGAAGTCTGTTAAGTGGGCAATGTTATTGTTGTTATGTGCCATTAAGTTGTTTCTGACTCATGTTGTTAAGTGTCGTCAAGCCAATTCCAACTCATAGCGACTCTGTATAGGGTTTTCAAGGAGCAGCCATTAAGTGTGAACTGCCACCCTTGAGATTCAAAGCGACCTTTTGGTCCAGTGCTTATCCTATAACACCACACCAGGACTCCATTCCGACTCAAAAGAACCCTGTATAGGGTTTCCAAGGAGTGACTGGTGGGTTTGAACTGCCAACCTTGTGGTTATGAGTCCAATGCTTGTCCTGCAGTGCCGCACCTGGTATGAGAAAGTTTGAAATCTGGTGAGAATTAGCAGACTGTAAGCACATGGCATTTGGAAAATGGTGCTGATATACTTGTTTGATGCAGCGTTGCCACAACGTTCAATTTGTAAAAAGCGTAGAATATGCGAAGTGCAATATAATAAGGTATACCTGTCTGTACGGAAGCTTTGCTTAATCTTTTCGGTCTCTTCTGCAGGAGAAAGATGAGACTTTCTGCTCCTGCGGAGATTTAAAGCCTCAGAAACCCTATTCACAGTCACTGTGAATCAGAACCAATGTTAGGTGATAGCTGGCACTTAACAACAACAACAAAAATGTTAATATGTTTTAAATTATATTTTGAATCCATCTTCCATTTAGGAATAATTAAACTAAAATACACCAAGATGGTATCTATGAGTGGGGAAATGGTTAGTGTACTAAGCTGCTAATTGAATGAATGGTCAGAGATTCAAGTTCATCTAGAGACACTTCAGAAGAAAGGCCGTGCAGTTTATGTACAAAAATACAAAAAAGCATAGTTCCTACTCGACTCCATTGGTGTAGACGTGACTGCAACTGTACACTACTAGAGGATATGCACAAAGGTGGGCTCCAAGTGTAACGCTTCTTGTCTCTTTTGGTTTCAGCATGGCATGGGCATACCTTCCATTGCAATCATGCTACATGAGCTGATCAAGCTGCTGTACCATGCCAGGTGCTCCAATGTTACCATCTTTCGCATTGGCACTTCTGGTGGCATAGGTAAGATATAGGGAGGGTATTCTTCCCCTGGTAGAAACTGAAATGGAGATGGACGGCTCCAAGCAGGAGGGGACCTTTTCTGTAGCAGCTCCACTGTGTTATGGAACTTAACATTAAGTGTTGGTCTTTTGTCAGGAAGCTTATTAACTGGACTGGTAACCACAAGGTTGACAGTTCCAGCACACCATCCGCTCTTGGAAACTTTATATAGGGGTCGCTGTGAGTTGGAACCAACTCGATGGCACATAAGAACAGTAACAACAACAACAAAAATATCAAGAAATATGAAAATAAGCTGCTGCTTCTTCTTGTCCTACCTGTTTTCCCAAACCAGAGACCAAAAGTAGAAAGAAACTAAACCTTGCACCTCTGCTCCCATTTTGGGTTACACTTTTTTTTTTTTTTTTTTAAATGTATGAGGGTGAGTCAAAAATTATCTGCACTCGGCTATAGAATTTACTTTAATCAACTTTTAGAAAAGACAAATACGTCATTTTTCAATACAATCTCCTAGCTTTTCAATACACATTGTCCATCTGTCAACAGCTTTGGTATTCCCTTATTAAAAAAATGTTTTAGCCTGAGCTGCAAGCTATGAATGCACTGCTGTCTTCACTTCTTCATCAGAGGTGAATATTTGTCCTGGAAGGGCTGCTTTCAGGGGACCAAACAGGTGAAAGTTGGATGGAGCAAGATCAGACCTCTATGGAGGATGATTTAACACCTCAAAATGAAGTTTTCGGAGTGTCAATAGTGTGGGCAGAGGTGTGAGGACATGCATTGTTATGCAAGATCACAATTCCCTTGGATAACAATCCTCTGTGTTTAATCTGAAGTTTAGGCTTCAGCTCTTCAGTGAGCCTCTCACTGTAACAAGCACTCTTGATTGTTGAATCTTGTTTCTGATAGTGTTTCAATACTGGCCCTTGAGAATCCCAGAGAATTGTAAGCATCGATTTTCCAGATGATGGTTGACTTTTTAACTTTTCCTTAGTCAGAAATTGAGGATATTTCCATTCCATATCCTGCTCAGTGTTGCCATTAGCATTTTCTCCCCTTCTATCTGGAACCTTCTATTTTGTCCCTGATCAGAACCATTGGTCATTGTAAGTGGGCACCATCTAGTTCTAGTCATGGGTGGATGAGGCTGTGTTGCAAGCTAGTTTCTTCTGAGTTTATGTTTTCCTTCTGTCACTTTTGCTCCAGACAAGTAGAAACCAGAATTTGTGTTTTACATGGCACTTGCAAACTTTTATAATTTTAGATGCTACTTACAAATTAGGATATAGGGCATAAACTTTATGGACTATGTTGTGCCAGTTGACCAAGTTATCCTATGAAATTATGGTACTAAGCCTTCAAACATAGTAAACCTATCCTGTGAGGCATTTGGTTATACCTGTGAATTATCTGTGACTCTGCCCTTTACATGTATTTATAAATATATGTGTAGTATATACAACATGTATAAGTGGACTTAAAAAAGTTTATAAGAAAAATTTTCCAGGAAATTTTTGAAGCCCCTTTGTGTACCTTCAAATACACATATATGTATGTATATACATGTCTACTTATGTGACCTATCACACATTTTTTCTTGTTACTTCTATTGTAAAATTGTATATGTTATAGTATTTGTTAGTGTCCATTTATCTTGATTAAGTCATGCATGTTTCATTCACCTTCAGTATTGCCATCAAAAATTGATCGCTCGATTATAAGATATTTCTATTTCTGGAGTTTTGATGGAGTGCTATATCATTTTACTTAGTAGTTGTACCATTTTACAATCCACTTGTTGTTGTTGTTGTTAAGTGCCATCGAGTCGGTTCTGATCCATAGCGACCCTGTACAGGGTTTCCGAGGGTGTAAATCTTTACGGGAGTAGAAAGCCTCATCTTTCTCCCACGGAGCGGCTGGTAGTTTCGAACTGCTGACCTTGCGGCTCGCAGCCCGATTCGTAACCACTACACTAAGTGTTCCAATCTCCCCACAGTCTTGCCAGGATTTATTATTTTCTGTTTTTTTGGGGGGTTTTTTAAGGCCATTTTTATAGAGGTGAGATGATACTTCACTGTAGTTTTGATTTGCCTCTCTTCTGGCCAGTGATCAGGAGAATCTTTTCATGTGATAGTTGTCCACTTACATTTCTTCTTTGGTGAAGTGTCTGCTCTTATTCTTTGCCCACTTTTAAAAACAGAATATTTTGTCTCTCTGTTGTTGAGCTGTTGAAGCTTTCTGTATATGAAGGGGACCCAAAAAGTTTGTGGAAAAATGGAATTTTTCCATGAGCTTTTTAAAGTCCTCTCATATTTTAAAGATAAGGTCCCTGTCAGATATGTCAGTCTTAAAGATTTTTTTCCAGTCTGTAATATCTATTTTTACTCTTGTAATGAGCATAAGTCTTTTGATGAGCATAAGTATCAATATTGTAGATGGTCCCATTATCTAGTTTATCTTCTGTTGTACATGTTTTTGTAGTTGTGTGTGGTGGTATACTTCTGAAAAAATAGGCTCTAGTTTTTTCCCCCCTATATTACCTTCCAGCAATTTTATAGTCTTAACTTTAACACTTAGGTCTTTGGTCCATTTTGAATTAATTTTAGCATCTGGTTTGAGGCATAGATCCTGTTTTATTTTTCTGCAAATGTATACACAGTTTTGCCAACACCATTTGTTAGATCATTTCTTAGTCATTGAATGGACTTTGCTATATATCAGCTGCCTATAGATAGATGTGCGGGTTCACTTCTGGGTTTTCAATTCTATTCCATTGGTCTATGTTTGCAATTGGACTGTAACCAGGCTGTGTAATTTATGTTTTGGGACCAGGAAGTATGAGGCCTCCATTTTGTTCTTCTTCAATATTGCTTTGACTATCCAGGGGCGCTTTCCTTTCCATAAGAAGTGTTACTAGAAATGTGTCCATATTATCTAGATTTTCAAATTTGTTGAAATGCAATTTTTCATGTTATGGCTCTCTTTATCTCAGTTAGATCTGCTGTAATGTCTCCAATTTCATTTCTTAGTTTCGTTATTTGCATCTTCTCTCTTTTTCTTTGCCAATTTGTCCAGGTTTTTGTTTGTTTGTTTGTTTGTTTGTGTTTACTGATCCTTACAAAGAACCTAATTCTAGTCTTGTGGATTCTATCTACTGTTCTTTCTTCTCTATTCCATTTATATTTGCTCTGATCTTTGTTGTTTCCTTTATTCTGGTATCTGTGGTCTTTTTAACTTTTTAATGAGGCTTTAATCTATCAATATTTATTATAATAGAAATCTTAAAAATTAAATATTTTAATTCATTAAAAATAATAAACCTATGTCAACACAGAGTTTATTTTTTAAAACCTATATTTTATTTTAAAAACATTAAGGAGAATAGGCACATTTCACATTAAAAAATTTTTAATGTCTGACTTAGTAGAAAACAATTAAATTCTCATATTTGTTTCTGCACTTAATCTATTCTCATGAGTGGCTTTAGTTGTAGTGTGATCTGTAGGATAAGCATTGCACTGCAGGGTTGGTTTGAACTGCAAGGTTGACAGTTCAAACACACCAGCCACTGCTCAGAAGCCTTATACAGGGTTCCTATGAGTCAGAAGTGACTTGACAGCACTTAAAAATAACAACAACATATGAAGAAAGTCTGGCCTAAAGCACATACATAGTTAGAGAAATAAGTAATATTTTAATAATCTTTTCAGGGCATTAGGGAATTCTTTGATACTGCACCCAAGCTTAAAAGACAATACACCTACTCCCCTAACTTATCAACTATCTTGTTATCCAACTTTTTAAATTCATGGCAATATTAAAAATTCTACTATTTTACATATTAACAACATGCCAACATAAGTCTAGCAGTCCTGAATGCCAAGGTAAAAAAATAATGCTCACTGTGATGGTTAAGGTTATGTGTCTACTTGCTGAACCAAGAGTCTCATTGGTTATGTAATTTTGCAGTTTGGAAGTTATGTAATAATGTAGTCATCCTCCATTTTCACATAACACCAATTTTCACAGAACAACCTGGTCTTTGGAACCTAACCATGCCAATCAATGAGAAGTGGGTGTAGTTGCAATGAGACCATGTCAATGAATTTTTCATATTCTTTTAGGAAGAAAGATGAGGCAGTCTGCTGTTGCAAAGACTGACATCCTTGTAAAAGCAATGGAGTAGTTCTACTCTGGCTGATAAGGTTGCTCTGAGTCATAATTCGTTTGATGGCAGTAGGTGAATCTATTAGATTACAATCTATCCATCTGACTTAGACTGAAGTCTAATATTGTGGCCATGGGAGAATGCCCTAGGATAGTTTTTATTGACTAAAGCTGCCAAGCCTTCACATCATACCTAACCAGTCCTTGAGGCAAGAGACACTTCCAAGGGTCTCTTTTGAAAATCATATTGCAGAGGAGACTCTGAAATTTACTGTGTGGAAGAAGCTCTCAGAGAGCTTGTTCAAAGTTCATATTTGAAGCCCTACATCCAGAGATTGGTGGTGCAAATCTGGAGTTCACCAGTGTAATCAGAACTCCAAACCATTTTGGTGCTAGACCTGGCATTGCAGCTCCCTACACATAGGGGTATTTTTAGCTCAATGCAATTCTGCAAAGAACCTCAGCAGTGGGTTACATTTCCTCATAGGGAATATGTTTTCATTGATGCTATGACTCTTTTTGTTGTTGTTGTTTTCAAGTTTACAGGGCAGATTTTCAGTTTTACATTCAACAAATCATACACCTTGTTTCATTACAATGATTATAATTTCCTCCATGTGCCATCAGATAACAGAATTCCTCTCTATTCACTTTGCTCTTTTTTTCTTTTCTTTTCTTTTAAACACTCAGTCATATATAATAATTTACACCACAAAAAGGCACATTCTGCCAGTCTGCCTCCTGGCTGCCAACTCTTAGTCACTCTCTTCCCAGGAGTCTAGAGTCCTCAGCTGCTCCCTCTCTCCATGTCCCCATCTCTGCCTCCATCTCTG